TCTGAACCCTGTATTTCAGGACATGAAGAAGGGGAAGATAGATGAGGGGAAGGCCACCCTTAGGATGAAGACCACCCTGGAGGATGGAAAGATGGACCCTGTGGCTTACAGGATTAAATTTGCTCCGCATCACAGGACAGGGGATGAATGGTATGATATTCTCTCTCCCTCTCCCTCTCTCTCTCCCTCCCTCCCTGCATTAAAGAGTGAGAATATTGTTAACTTTACAGGCAAAGCAATGATTTGGGAATCTTATACATTCCCCCCCCCCCAGTGGACAATTTTGATACATTTAGCATTTCCCCTAAAAATGTAGTATGTAAGTTTGTCCTTTTGAAGCCCTGAATTTTTTTTTTTTAGAACTCCTATTTGATAATAGGTTCAATTAACAACAAAGGCAATTACTGGCACACCAGTTCTTTGTTGTCATTCATTACTATGGCAACAATGTCAGAAGTGTGCAATATTAATTATCAGCAAGAGAAATTAGCGGACAAGCCTTGTGTGTGTGGCCTCGTCTGTCAGTCACTTTTGTACAAATATCCAGATTTTTTTTCATGAATAAATTAATAATTTAATGAATATACAAGTATATATAATTTATCAATCTATGTGTCAAAATATACTGGGAAAATGTTAAGTTTAAGGAGTAAATACTGCATAAAGAGGTAACACTTAATACTGTGACAATGAATTTTAAATTATGCTATATGGGAGTGGCAAATATTACAAAATGCTAACAGTTGGGTGTCATGGCATGATGGATAACAGGATTCAGCAAAAGAAAGTCTGTGTTTCAATTTTAATGCGAATATTAATACAGTTAATTTAAATTAGCAGCATAATGTTTCTTTTAAAAGAAATTACCATTGAAAAGAAATCCATTATCAAATTTTCCTCTTCTAGGTGCATATATCCCACTTATGACTACACTCATTGTTTGTGTGACTCCATTGAAAATATCAGCCATTCTTTGTGTACTAAAGAGTTCCAGGCCAGGTAAGTCTTTAATTTTTTGCCTTCCATTTCTGGGGCATGTTTCACAATACTTAAAAGTTTAAGTTCATCACATGCCATCTTAAAAGGTGAAAAGTAGAATTTGTAGACTGCTGTGCTTGATGGATAAGCTGTTACGCCTTCGCGGCCGAGTGCCTTATGAAGGTACAAATACCAATGTACTTACTGGTGTCTCAGAGTCAAGAAAAACAACCAAGTCAGAGAATTACCCCAAAAGAGCACAGAGAGCCAAGAGTCAAGAGAAGATCACAAAAAGCCTCAAAGAGCCAAGAACACGGAGCCAAGAGAGGCCGATTTATTTCAAGTCACACCTTACATACAAGTTCAGATAGTACATGTTTACCAATCAGAACCAACTATACAGTGAACAGTTTTACCTTTAAGTTACCAATCACGGGAGAGATTCAAACTTGCACACCGGACAACACTTTACTTATAGAGACATCTACCGGTAGCAATGTAAAACAATCTCAACTAACACACTACATCGTCACAAAGCAAATCATAACAATTTATGCCTGGTCTTTATGGATCTGTTTTATCTTGAAATGGTTTCACCCCTCTTTGAGAACATACAACCCAAGCAGTGGCATATATAGTGCTCGGGGTTTACATCTACAATTCTACCATGTCCCTGTCTTCTTCATTTAGAGATGAGTGTTTTTCGAAATTATCCACCTACCCACCCATATGTAACTGCCCCTCTTGGTGCATGCATTTTCAGGAGTTTTTTTTTTTTTTTTTTTTTTTTAAGGCCCAATTTTTTTTTTTTTTTTTTTTTTTTTTTTTTTTTAATATGCTGTAATTGAAAGATATGAATATAAAGATATTTTGATGTTTGTTTATTTTTTTTTCTGTTTACCAGACGGTCCTCATATTACTGGCTATGCAATGCTCTAGATGTTTACTGCCCTGTACAGTGGGAATATGGCAGGCTAAATTTGAACTACACTGTAGTATCCAAGAGAAAAATTGCCAAACTTATCGACTCAGGAATCTGTAGGTAAAACGAAGAGACATTAATTTTATTTTTTATCTAATTATTTGATTCAAGCTGGTCTAATTTATAGTGCACACACAGTGGGTTGTTGTTATGTATTACTATGGCAACACTCTCAAATGTGTGCAACAGTAATTCCTGCAAAAGAAAATGATAGCAGATCAGTTGACTTGTAGCTGTGTCTGAGAATCCCTTTTGTACAGAAAAAAATTGTCTGAAATTTTGGTTTTAGATTTTTGTGTGTTGTACAATTTTTCATGAAATAATTGATAACTATTTTGCATTTAAGTTCCCATCAGCATTTTCAGTTACCAAAGAGAACTTAATTATTATTGTGTTCTTAATTTGTGTTTGTTTTAACCTCAGAGACTGGGATGACCCAAGGCTATTCACTTTAACAGCTTTAAGAAGGAGAGGATTTCCCCCAGAAGCCATTAACATGTTCACTGCAAAAGTAAGTTTTTTTTTTACAAATCATGGCCACACTTTGATGACAAACACTTTTGGGGAAGCCCCCGAGTCTTGATTTTTTATTCCAAAGATAAGCCCTGTTGATAGTTAGCTTTTTGTAAATGAAATTAGTTATTTCAAAGATGTTTTTGACATCACAGGATATTTCTAAAAGCACACACAGTGGGTTGTTGTTATGTATTACTATGGCAACACTCTCAAATGTGTGCAACAGTAATTCCTGCAAAAGAAAATGATAGCAGATCAGTTGACTTGTAGCTGTGTCTGAGAATCCCTTTTGTACAAATATAGATGACATGAGCAAGGGTATTTATTTGTTATTTAATTATCCATTTATAATTTTCATTCTAAAAAAGGTCCAAAACATCTTTAGACAGAAAGTATATAATTTTATCTTTATGACCAAAATTGTTGATTTACTGTAGGATAAATGTAAAAAATTTTTCAATCAATTGTCATTTTTAAAAATAAAAGAACAATAATATTGTGGATTGATGTTTTTATCTTGTGTGAAATAAGACTAAAAATAATTTACTCATGAACTTGTGGTCTGGAGTTCATTTGTGAAACAACGCCAACCATGATGTATAAAGACATTTTGATCCACTTTCAGGTCGGAGTGACCATGTCCCAGACTGTCATTGATCCTTCCATGTTAGACTCCTGTGTGAGAGATGTACTGAATGTCAAGGCTCCCAGGTAAGCTTCTTATTGGCAATTCTCAGTTCTGTTAAGAGCTTTGCAGGAAATTCTACCTTCCCACCATCAAATAATCTAAATAAACGAGATTTATATATGTTATGAACAGAAAAGTCTTACTGAAAAAAAAACATGTCAGAGGGAAAGTAAAAAAAATATTACAAGATCAAATTTGCAAAAGAAGGATATATGAATATTGAAATAAACTGTTTTCAACATCAATCCAGTGACATCTAAACACCTTCATGGCATCCTCTCTCAGTTTTATTGCAACAATACGAGATAACTGCCAAAATATTTAAGTTTGAATTCTTGAATCTGATAACTTCTCAATAAGTCTGGCATTTTCTAAATAGATTTTAGTGAAAAGTTGTGCAGTAAACATTGAGTTTTTGCTTCCTGGAAATTGATTAAAATAGGTTTTGATGAGTTGATAGAATTAATTGGAATTCCTCACAAACTTACTTCTGACTTTTTCAGAGCCATGGCTGTCCTTGACCCTCTCAAGGTCACAATAACTAATTTTCCGTCTGAAACGACGGAGATTGAAGTCCCAGACTTCCCTGCAGAAGAGTCCAGAGGCTCACACAAAGTTTCTTTTGGAAAAACAATTTTTATTGAAAAGACAGATTTTAAAGAGGTGGGTTTCTGATGGTGGGCAATTCTTTCATTTGAGTCACAACATGAAGTTAAAAATAATCTAAAACTTTTCTGTTTTCGTATTTATGAAAATTTGTAATGGCAAAACACATATGATATAAACAAAAAGTTATCCTGTGTGACTTGATCCCATTCCCTCTCTCTCTCTCCTTCTCGATGTATAAAATGGTAGATTTAATATCATTCCAAACTGTTTTTAATAAATTTCAGAAAAATGAAAAAGGTTACAAGAGGTTAGCTCCAGACCAACCAGTTGGACTTCGACATGCTGGCTTTGTCATTTCTGTAGAGAAAGTCATCAAGGTGAGTAACCATGGAGTATATTGAGAATCATTAACTGGATTAAGACTGCAATATTGTGGCATCTGACTGTATGAACTAGTAGAACATGTACACTTTAAAATAATTATTCACAGTTCTCAAAAGTTAGAAGAGTAGCTGCATGAAACAGTTCGGAAAAGTGTTCAGTTACTGGCCATTGTATCTAGAGTAGAGATCTGGAGTAGATGGGAATTCGAAAAAGTATGTAATGTTGTTTTATTGATCAGAAATAATTTTAATCGACACTCATATTGATGACACAACTAAACATGTTTTTCTATCTATAAGGCGTCACTTAGGCCCTCCTGTCAAAGGACCTCGATCACGTCATTAACTCATTAGTGTGAAAACTGGAAGTTTTAGATTATGAAAAACCTACAAAACCGACCAGTTATTTTCTCACTTATGAAAAAAGTCCCAAAATATTAAATTTTGAATTGTACTCTTCCACAATAAAGGACAATGATGGATCTGTTTGTGAACTGGAGGTCAGTTGTAAGAAGGTGGCTGATGCAGAGAAACCAAAGGCGTTTATTCACTGGGTGGCAGACCCTGTCATCTGCGAAGTGCGACTGTATGAAAGATTGTGAGTACTATAATTGTTTTTCTCTTTTATCAATGCTCTTATTTATTACACCACAGGTGTGTTATTTTTGATTTTTTATCACCATGTCGTTACATGTTTTTTTGAAATGTCTTATTATGGACCTAGCTATATTGACTTGGGCATACAATGACTTTTTAATTGTAAGGGGATGAGTTTTTAAGTCTGAAAAAATTTGACTGATTTTGATGATTGTATGTTGGCACACATGTGACAGTGTTATTTTAATAGTTCTCTTCTAACATCCATAAATCATATTTTGCAGATTTAGACATAAAAATCCTGAAGACCCGAATGAAGTTCCTGGAGGATTTTTATCAGATTGTAACAAGGTAAGAGTACATTTTTGATTTCAATTTTTTGTCCCCAAAAACAAAACTATTTAAGAGGAATGAAACTATGAAACTTTTGTGAAACTGTCACCTTATAACGTTTTGTAAAGTAATAGATCTATGGGTCAACAAAAAAAACCATTAGGGAGAAACGTGATGTTCTTTTAACTGTAATTGATAATGATAATTTATCTATTTAAATTGTTGATAGAACATATATATATATGAAGGCACACACAGTGGGTTGTTGCTATGTATTACTATGGCAACACTCTCAATTGTGTGCAACAGTAATTCCTGCAAAAGAAAATGATAGCAGATCAGTTGACTTGTAGCTGTGTCTGAGAATCCCTTTTGTACAAGTACAAATTAAAGATGTCTGAAATTGTACAATTCCTTTACTGACGCAGAGAATGAAAATAATTACATTCCCTAAACATTTTGAGGTTAGTGATATCATACTGTAAAGTGCATTAAAATTATATATAATGGAACTACTTTTATTAACTCATCATTTGATAAGATGTCATGTTTTTTTCAAAGTTTTTAATAATTTTTTCATCAGGATTCTCTGACAGTCCTGCCCTCGGCCATGGTGGACCAGTCCGTAAGGGGTGCCAAGGTCTACGACAAGTTCCAGTTTGAACGCCAGGGCTACTTCAGTGTGGATCCAGACTGGACGGAGAAAAAGGTAAATAAAAGTGTAGATGTTAGCTTACTGCTTGTGTACGTACATCTGTCTTTAGCAAGCTGTGTCTTTAGCAAGCTGATGAATATTTTTTCTCAGATATGTTTTTGTTGTGTATAAATATTAAACATCATGGGTCACAGGGATTGTAAATTGTGCTAGCACTGAAATGATTTTAACGTTTTTTTAGGAATAGTGCAGGGTCCTTACCACTGTTTTATGTCTGTTGAACCCAATTTCTGATGAATTCTTAGTTCTAAAAGAATGTTTGTTTAGTGAAGTTTTTACAAACAATATATTTCTTGTAGTGCGTTTTTGTATACTTAATGTAAAAGATCACTAATACCTATAGGCCATCCTTTATCTCTCCTCCCCCTTTTTTTCTCTTGACTTTTTTGTTCATTATTTATTTAGATCATGATATATGTGCTGTAAGACTGTGTTCTCCTCTAAATATTTAACCTCCCCCTCCCTTTGCAAGCCTCAACTATCTGCTTCAAGTATTTTGAGAGAGATCCAAAAGTCACTGTGGAAATTACCCCTGTGGTGAGATCAGAGGGAATTTCACATTTTTTAGGAGTTACTTACAGCATAAATAGCTATTGTTTACTGCCTTAGAACGTATAATTTAGATAAAATACATAGGATGTTCTTTGTGATAAGGGTTTGGGATGGAATGCTGAATTTTTTTTCATGAAATTTGAAGACAATCAAGGCTGGTTGTCCTAAGAATGAGTTAGACTGGGGTAGCTTCATGACTAAGGCAGGCGTGGAAGTCTTAATTTGCACTAATGTGTGTGCGTGTATGTATGTTCGTGTTAGAGTTTTCATTTGTGAGTGGGTGTGTTAGATAGTGTGTGTGTGTGCCTGCAATTTCAGCTTTTCTAAAGAAAAAAATTCAAAATGGTCAATGTTATCAATAAATTTTAGAAAATAAGAATACAAAAAATAGCTTTTTAAAAGAACAAAAACATACGGCAATAAATGTTATTTAATATGTAGTCCTGCTTGTGGAATATACAGATAAAAGAGTGAACAAAAGAGCCATTAAGGTTGTAACATCTTGTCTGTACTTTGTATTATGTTGTCAGTCAACTTTTTATCTTGTAGCTTGTCCAGTTTGATTTGAAATCACATCACAAGAAAATCAGATGTACATGTTTTTTTTTCCAAGTTGAGATCTGTGTTAAAGACAAAAGTTCATGTCCTGTTGGGATCATTATATTTTGTTTCTATCTCTTTTGATCGTAATAACTCAGAAATTTTAAACACTGGTTCTTACAGTGGTATTTTCATAAATAGTTAAATTTATGACATTAGAATGATCTTTTCAGGAGTTTTCAAGAAAAATTAAAAGCAGTGGGGTGTAAGTAAAGTGAGCTTCCTATTTGCCTTTTATAACAATTCAAAATTCTTCAAAGTGGATGCCTTCTGTATTTTATTGAGGGGGAAGTCGGTATACTTGAATGCCATGGAAAAAGATCTGAGCATAGGTTTTGTTTTTAAAATGCTCTCAGACTAATAGCGTATAGTTGATCTCAATTGCGACCAAAAAAAAAAAAAAAAAATGTATTGCAGCTAATAAGGAGGAAAATGTCCAAATTTTTGCAACCTTTTTGGTTTACCTCGATGACTCTTAATGACCCGAGTTGACCTCAACACCTGTGTAGTAGACATCATGATAAATTAGACAAGAAGAGAGATGAACTCTTATGATAATAAAGATATACAATTCTCCCTGTCTGGAGTGATGGGTATGGTATGATATGCTTGAAGATGTTATGATGATCACTTCCCTGACAATTTGTAATAGAACTGAAAAAAGACAGGAACATGAAGAGGTGTTGCAGCACACTCAGGGTTTTGTTGATTTATGATGCTACAAGAAAGCAAGAGTTTTGTTTTGAAAGGTCTAGGTTTATTTGACTGTGTTGTTTTGAAAATATGTTCATTTATTTTATTTATTTATTTTTTTTGTTTGTTTGTTTGTTTGTTTGTTTGTTTGTTTGTTGTTAAGACAGTGGGTTCTTTTAATTTAATAATTTGTTTGTGAATTGTTTTGCGTTATTGGGTATTAGGAGTGTCCCGAGTTATTTTACCTACCAAATATGAAGTCATCAGTCTTTGTGCTTCTGACCCAGTGTTCCATTTCTGATATCTTCAGCGCTATTATAAATCAATACTATTTTGTTTGAGGACTACCTCTTCCAGCTATCTAATATGTCTAAAGTATCAAAACACAGCATCGACAAGTTTTTCTCGCTCCCTGCAGGGAGTTCTTCGATGTACACTGTCAAGACGCGAAAATGATCAATAAGAGCCTCCAGTGATCATTTTATAAAATAACCAATGCATGAAAACACAAATTAATGACCTTTGAATCGGCTCCGTGGAGATGTCTAATGGATAGGAGGCTAATTTGAAGTCGGAGACTTGGGGCCTGTTTCACAGGAAAATTTGATTTCAAGAAATCTACAGTCTTTATCTTGAGACCAAGATTTTAGTCTCGATTCTTTTTGACTCCAGATAACTCTGTGGTTGTCCTAGCAAGTGAAATATTGTGTTTGTTTTAAAACGAGAAACCACTGTTTAAGTATGAGTGCTTAATTTAAGTAACTGCTTGGAGGTGTTAATCTTGAACTGAAGTTGATCAAATCACTGGTCTATAAGTTTAGAGGGTTATTCTACAAAAATAATAATGATAATGATAATAATAATTTGATTCACCTCAGCAACACACATTTTCTGTACTATTTGCATAACTTCTGCCTCAATTTTCTCTGCTTTATTCTTCAGTACCCTCTCATAAGCTTGCAAGCTTTTTAGTTACTTTAAATATCGTTTCTGATTTGAAGCCCACTCACTTTTACAATTTCTGAATAAATGAACATTTTTGTTTATTTCTAAAAAATAGAACATTTTTAAAGAAAAGATACTAATTCATTTGGTTTGAATGAGATGAACAATTACTTAGTTCACAGGTTACCCTTAAATCCACCACCCTAATTCCCATACATAATTTGGTTGTGAAATTTATGCCAGCAGAATAATTTGGATTTATTCGCCAGAGGATATGTGTACTTTTTGACCCAGTAATGACAGTTGAGTCGCTATTAAATCGTATGAAGTGATAATTTAATCACAATCCATAGACGTTCTTATTGAATAGTGTGTATTATCTGTGTGATATTTTGGCATGTTTTTTCCAATTCCAGGTCTTTTTCTTTTCTGTTGTGTATATTTGGGTGTATATTCATATATTAAACATAATGACTGTCAGTCTTTGCTCGTCTTTGTGTGTATACCTATCAGCCCTTGTGAATGCAGTTGTCTGGGCATGCTTTCGTGTTATCTTTGTGAACATGCAACTTTACGTGATGTGCTATCTCTCCACCTTATTTTATTCTCTCTCTCTCTCTCTCTCTCTCTCTCTCTCTGATCATGTGTCAGGGAAAGGGGGAGGGGGGGACTCTATGCACACTGAATGTTGGCCTAAAAAGCAATACAAAATTGTGCATAAATCATGCTGAATGTGTTGTCATACTGTTGTTCAACAGACTATAATCAAAAGAACTTATGAGAAGAACATCCATGTATAAATTCTGTTAGTTTTTATTCATTGCCACACTGAGCTCATAAGTTCGCCCTTTTTTTTACCCAACTCCACTCAAAATCCTTGCAAAATCTTTCTTGATATTACATGAAGTGTTGTGACTTTGAGCTATCCCAGAAGATTCTCTTTGATATAATCCTAGCTTACGTAATGAAATAATAAAATTACTTGCACAAAACCACTTCTCACATAAAATAACTTCCTTCTTAGAAATATTTTACGATAAATCCGTTTATGATGGCATTTGATGTACAGATTAGATAAGTAGTGAACAATAAGATTACATTAGTAATTGGTTTGCAAGATTTATCTTTTTTTTTTTTTTACTGAGAAGCCTTTAAAAAGAGATAACTTGGATAAGCAAAAAAGCAGCCTGTTTTTGTATTGATCTTAATGGAGATTGATAATGTAATAGTTTGAGGACTTGGGTTACACTATCAGCCCAACTTTTTTCCCACCGATATTGAAGGGAAAAAGTGAATTGGCAGCAGGTAAATATAACATGATGGATGGCGTATTCTTGAGAAAGGCAGGATGCTAGTTGTGTTGCGTAAGTCGATTGCACCACCCACTCAGTGTTATAAACATATCATCTCTCTTTTCTCTCCGCAACTTCTCCTGTGGTTTATCAAGTGCGCTTACGTCTAGATTTCATTCTTGCTTTCCTCTCTCGAAAACTTGAAATGTTTTATGTAGAAGATGTAGCTAGTTCTTTTTTTTGTGGACAAATAGCAGGGATGGTAAATAATGTTTCCAGTAATGCTTCTCTTTCGATGTACTCAAAAAAAAAAAAAAAAAAAAAAAAAAGATATATATTAAATTTTTTTAACAGAAACAAATTTGTAACCAGTATGTTTTATGAGATGAAGGTTTTGTATATGTGGCTGACACCCTGAGCTTCATCAAGGACTGCTACCTAATCTCTACCCAGCATACAATGGGGGAATTGCCATTGGAGAATCTGATACTCGGGGTGACATGATGTACAGTGTTCTTATTTGTTTTTCAGACAATTGAATTGTCCTCCCCTGAGATTATGAACAGGGCACCCCTAAGTTAAAACTTTTAAGATCCCATCTGGAAATTGCTTTTAGCAAGCCTTCAAGTGCAGTTGAAGAGGAATAATGAAAATTGTCGTTGATAATGTAGCGAAAATGATTGTTTTTATGCAGTTTAAAGTGGGTTTCAAAACGTCAATGACATTTTCTGGAAAGGAAATGGAATTTTAATGGTGCCTTCCACTTTCAAAAGGAATGCATCTTAATGGTCTTGTTTGTGCCGATAGGTTTGATTTGTACATAACCTGAGACAAAAGACAGGCATTTAGAAAGGTTCGGAAGTCATCTGGGCCTGTCTTTTCATATCTCGGTTTCATTTTCAAAATGTCACTTGTTTACTCACTAGAAGATTGAAAACACACCCAAAACTGTATTTATGACCCCCCCCCCCTCCACACACACCACACACACACACACACACACACACATGCATAACGTGTGTGAATATTTGCATGCACATGTATGCGCACGCATGCAGCCATGCCGTAGAACACACCACTGGTGTATGTGACAGCTCAACTGTTAATTTTAGCCTCACGTTTTTGTTTGGGAACTGCCATATCTAACGTCAGATCTTGTCACTGATAAAGAACATTGTTCAAGGATCCGCTGGGTTCCCATGTGACGAAAAGGGAAACTGCAGTGATTTCTCAATAAATTCAAAGCAGTGTTTTGTTTGTGCCGTTCTTCTGAATTGGTAAAGTTGTTGGTTCGATGTGGAAAAGTAAATGTTTGTGTTTGACTTTAAGTGATAGCTCTTCAAAAAATAAAAAATAAATAAAATGTTAGAGAAAGCAAGATTTTTTAAAAAATACAATAATTACTGTATGCTTGATCATTATGCCTTGAGATAAAAAGAAAACGAGTATGCAGAGAGTGATTTTACTGAATTTGGCCAGAATGCATTTCTCATAAAATATGTTGTCTTCACTTTGGTACAAAGATTGTGTATGTACGTATACAAGTTTTATTTTCGGTCAGGAAGTCATGCAATTGGTAATATTGGAAAGGGAAGTAATTTCAGTGATAAGGATGGCACATTTTTTGAGTGAAAGAATGATTTTACTTGCCATCATGTTTTTTATATCATTCTTTGTGTGTTTTTTAAGCTTTGCCATTGTGTTGAATTCCATTCCCATTAGTTAAAAAAAAAAATAAAATGAAAATATCATAGAAATACCATTTTTGACATTTTTGTTGAAGGAACGAATGTTCCTCCTGTTATTCTCAAAATTGCAAAAATTTATTTTTCAAACAGCAGCTGAACAGATTTTTCAAAGGAAACTCTTTGTAACTTTGAGATCATAACACAGCTGTTGAAATTTGAAATTCTTTCCTTCTATCATTCTGCTAAGGAGGGGGGGGGGGGATCTCCTCATAGCCTACTTGAATTTAAAAGAAACCAAATAAACACCCGTTAGATGGAAAAAACTTTTTTTGGGTCTGAGCACACCCCAAAAACCCAAAGAGGTGTGCTTAAAGTATCTATGGCAGCGGGATACTAACATTTGTGGATTTGAACAAACACTGTGTAACTCAACTCGGGATGATTTATCCTTTGCTGCCACTTGTTTTGTGTCATGGATATTTGGTTATGCCTTAAACTGTAGAAGTACTCTAAAAATTCCAAATTTTTCATTTCGCCAGAAAGACTAAATACTTCTAACTGTCAAAAAAAAAATTTTTTTTTTTGGCTTATTTAAAAAAAAAAGTTATGTTGTAATGGTGATAAAAATTATAACTTGTTGGTAGCATGCTCTGCATCATGTGAATATGTTTAACTCACCTAGGATGTTGAATTTGTACTTCTGTGGTGAAATATATCAGCTTGTTAATTTTTAATAAACTTTGAAAATGAGGGCATTATGATAGCTCTAATATGGTGAAATTTATCAACTTGTGAGGTTTAATAAACTTTGAAACTGAGGGTAATGATGATATTACTAATATGAGGGGGTTTGTATCACTGTGTTGAAATGTTTCAACTTGCAATATTCAGCCTGTGATATGTAATAGCATTTGAAACTGTGGAATGTTGCTGTTAGGAGCATAGTTTAATTGTCTCGTCTATCGTGTCTGGTCAAACTACCATGTGAAACTGACTCACTGTTGTGTTTAATTTTAATTTACAATATTGTGTGGTTGGACTTCAGAACATTCCCATTGCTTGGTCCATGTGACAGGACCCCTGAGGGAGGGTTCATAAAAGATCCTTCACCCAAAAATTGGTCTGAACTTTTAAACCAGAAATTGGTCTTAACTTTTAGACCAAACATTACGTCAGTTCAAGTTAAATCCCATAGCAGTCCAGCTGAAGTAAGTGTGGATCTTAAACATTAGCCTTGAATTTATTTTTTTTAAACACAATATTTCATTTACTGCAGATTTATTTTGGGTAAAATTAGACTGGAATTTGGTGAAAAAGTTTGGACCAATTTCGGTCTGAAATTCTGTGAAACTTGCCCCCTTGTACTGCAGCATAGACTGTTATTAGTTACATTGACTTCCTCACTTGTTGTGTCATGTGGCTGAAGTCATGCATGGCACTGTGACATTTTGCTGTTGGGGGCATAGTTTAATTGTGGAGGTATGTATTGTGTCTGGCCATGCCAATGTAATGTTATGTAGGCCCCCCCCTGCAGTGATTTTTCTGGAATGAAAAAAATTATCTGACTGGTTAAAACTCCTACCTCCACCCCACTTTTCCATTAGTCCATTTAAAAGCTAATTAAAGAGCCTTTTCACATTGAGCAGTATACTTAGAGTGCATTCCCAGAAATTTAGATCGATCCAGAGATTAAGATTTAGATCGACCTAACTCCCCGGGGGTTCACGCTAAATTGCAGTCAGCCGAGCGCGCACCATAGTTAATTACCTACCCCCTTTCAGCTTTTAGTAGGCGGGACAGATGCTTAAGCCGGCTAAGCTGACAGTAATCTAGTGAGACTCCCCACAGGGATAGATCGATCTAAAATCTATGGGAATGGGGTCTTAAACTGAAACGTCAGGCTATTATGATGAGGTTCCTAGTAACAATGTCTTGATCTGCACTGGTCACGGCCATCTGCAGGAATTGCACTTGTGAGATAACTCGCGAAAGGAAGTAAAAACCCCTTTAGCTTAGTTCTATGTTAGGACCTCACAAAGTGAACTGACACGGATTGTATCGTTAAAGTACTCCATTCATTGTGAAAAGGGTTATGAAGTGGAAGTCGGTTGCCTGGGACTCGTAGTTTAAAGCTTAGAATGGCGTGTACTAATAGCGAGCACCTCACCTGTATTATGTGAAATATTACTGAAAATCTGGCAGATTGATGCAGCTAGCACATCTGTTCTATTTCATTTGTATTAACGTGCAATTTATTATTGTATAAAACGCCACGACATGGCAGATAGTGGTGTTTTGTGGGCATATTAACATTCTTTTTCTCCATTGTTAGCTTTGTTATGGTAGGGCATTTGTTAGTGGTTGCCCAGAGGCAGTACATCAAAATGGCTGGAAATGATGTTCCTCAGTCATAAATACACTGCTATTTAGTTGCTGCTGTATCTAAACACAGTGTGCACACTTGTTATTTAACTTTTTTGCATTCTTAGGTGATAATTACCATGATTCTGCCTTATTGCGCTTGTGCCACTTTATAAGAAACATTTTTAAAACACTTCTCCAACCATGTTTCTCACAAAAAAAAAAAAATGAGAGTTCATAGCGGCCACTGCCATTTCACGAAATCTCTATCCAATATTAATTGATGGCTATGCAGGGGGGGGGGGTATCGATCTACATATAACAATAGTTTCATTGGGAGTGAACCCTAACAGAAGTACAGTAATTTCAGTGACATTATGTTGTTTTCTTCTGAACACACTTTACAGTGTGACAACATTTAAATTTACTTTTTAGATATTTTCTTAATTTTTTAAAATTATTTTATTTTATTTATTTTGATTATGCAAAATGTTTAATTTTTTTCTTTCAGTTGGTATTCAACAGAACACTCACACTAAAAGAAGATCCTGGGAAGAACTAGAAGGCACACTGATGGGTGGTGCAAGGAACAGGAAGAAGTGCAATGCTAGAAATTAGAAATAAGAAACACCTAGGAAACGGACGCCATAGAAAATCCACCTACATGTTCTGGATAAGAAATGTTGTTCTTTTATCCTAATCACTGTCCAAGAAGTACTGAAGAACTGGAAGTGATGTAAAGTATATTTATAACTTGACAATACCATACCAAAGCAGTTGCGGGTAGTACATGAAAGAAGAAGCCTTTTGAGGAGAAACTGAATGATGAATGAAGTAGTAGCAAGTGACAAGGGAAAGAATAGGACAAGGCACTAATATATGTTTGAGATAGGGAATAAAATAGAACAAGGCACTGATATATGATGTTTGAGATAGTAATGTTTTTTTTTCTTTTGTATGCTTCAGGTAACAATGTCCAAAAAAAAGAAGTTAAAAATGTGATACTAGTAAAAATTCTGTGGATAATAATGTCCTGCTGTTTAAAAAAAGAACAGTAGTACAATATCTATTCAGTATGTATTTTATATGAACAACATCACGGGCAGCTGTTTATCCCTTGTCATAAAGTGTATAAAAAATAATTGGAATTGTTTTAAGTATGAAACTTTTTCAGTTAATGTAACATATTGATCAGACATTTAAAAAAAAGATATGGGATTGGAGTCAATAGGCCATGTTCACAGCCATAAATGATCCACAGACTAACACATCCATGATCAAATATGGCTGACGCCTACTTCTTATTCCCTATGGGAAATCTATTCAGTGTTTATTAGCGGATTATGCGGTAAGCTTTCAAGTGGATCAGCCATATTTGGTCCACGGATCAACTTGTTCTAAAAGCACCTATAGAATAAGAAGCTTTGGTCACTCTTCTATCATTTGATTGAGTGCCATTAATATGATCACTAGCATTGCCAAAATATATTTTCAACCGAGTGAATTTTTTGTTTGTTTCGTTTTTGCTATTGAAAGTTTGAACACACTGAGCTTATGGCTTTTATCTTACTTATTTGTTAGTTTCAGTTGAATTTTATTTATTTGTTAATTTATTTACTTTGTTATTTATTTTGTTAAGCAGTGCTTTAGTTTCCTTGGTTTAAAAAATAGAAAGTTTAGTGGTGTACTATGTTGAGAGAGGGGGGCGTTAGGCTTGTATTATTGACTGTCAGATTATATATTGTCATAATTGATCGCTTTTATTAGCCAAGTCGGTACATCTCTTGCTTGTAAATCATGGTTGTTATCTCCCTCTCAATTACTTTATGCAATCATTTGACCAAAATATGTACAAAAAATGAGACCAAGCATTATCAGACTCTCTTTCCTGTGTTCTATTGCTTTGGTCCTTACTTTCTTTGGGGCTGCAATATACCAAGTGTGTAACACAGGCGGAACAGAGGTAACAAGAGGCTAGGTTCAATGGCTTTTGTTGCCATTTTCCTATCTG